AATTAGGTCTAAAAGTCACCCCGTCACGGACCGTGCCTTATGACTCGCGCCGTTCGACGGTGAACGTCGCAACGACTGCTGCATGTCGTGTCGTACGAATCGTACAGGATTTACAGCTCACCCCAGCCCTCCCGACAAGCCCTTACGTCCCGTGACATCGGCGTTGGGTCGAATGTGAACTAGGCTTTAATTCCCGTAGCTATGCAGAAGACGTTACTTGTACTTCAGTAACGTCTGGCGCTAGCCAGGGTCCACATAGCTTTAATTTGGTGTTTGTTTGTTTGTGGGTTTGTGTCACGCCTGGCGCTATCCCGTATCTGTCCCGTACCGTACCGTACCATCAAACACAACTGGCCACATACAGCTGGCCGCAATATTCAAATAGGGCTTTCAAACGCAAGATCATAACGTGAAGCAGCTTGGAAGAATGAATATGAATGCGAAGTATATGGGGGAATGCATGTAGGGCGATAGTGCGGGTTCGAATCCCAGGGTATACCAAAAAATAGGAGAATTGAAAAATTTATAACATCCCTATGCTTTTTTTGCCTATGTCATCAATGCCGTAGACGGTGTCGTATTACCCTGGACCGTACCTGTCCCGTACCTGTCCCGTGCCTGTCCCGTACCGTACCGTGCCATCAAAGACCGCTGGCCACAATGCATATTCAAATAGGGCTTTCAAATGCAAGATCATAACGTGAAGCAACTTGGAAGAATTAGTATGTATGCGAAGTGTATCGGGGGATGCATGCAGGGCGCGCGATAGTGCGGGTTCGAATCCCAGGTTATGTCTTAAAAAAAGAAGATTTTTTTAAAGAATTTATAACATCCCTATGCTTTTTTTGTCTAGGTCATCAAAGCAAAAAAGCATAGCGTAGGGCCCTGAGCGTCCAAGCTCTCTCTTTTGGTATTTGTGTGTTTGTTTGTGTGTTTGTGTCACGCCTGGCGCTATCCCGTATCTGTCCCGTACTGTACCGTACCATCAAACACAGTTGGCCGCATACAGCTGGCCGCAATATTCAAATAGGGCTTTCAAACGCAAGATCATAACGTGAAATGACTTGGAAGAATGAGTATGAATGCGAAGTATATGGGGGAATGCATGTAGGGAGACAGTGCGGGTTCGAATCTCAGGTTTATATGCCTTAAAAAAATAGGAGAATTGAAAAATTTATAACATCTTTAATGCTTTTTTACACTTCCCTGTATAAACGCACAGAATCTCGCCCCGTGAGCCAAATCATCAGAGATGCTAGATGGAGGCTGTTTGGTCATGTGCTGCGTTTGGAAGGGGCAGCCCCAGCCAGACGTGCCATGGGAGCTTACTTCTTAGGGGGTAACGGCCCCAGCTTTAGGGGACGCCCAAGAACAACGCTCCCGCGAACGCTCAATAATGATCCCAAGAACAACGCTCCCGCGAACGCTGAAAAATGATACCGCCCTAGAGACTGGCGATGACTTGAACATGCTGCAGCAGCTTGCCCAAGACCGTCGACAGTGGCGGGAACTGGTGAAGGCTGTATGTAGCTGCTAATGAAACAATGGACATAAGTTATACCTTTATATATAGATAATGGAGATGACTGCAACAGGCTGCAGCAGCTCGCCCAGGATCGCCCTCAGTGGCAGGACCTGGTGAAGGTTGTATGTAGCCGCTAATGCAACATTGGACATAACTTTGCGTTTCCATCTTGTCTTTTTTTGTGATTGTGATGCTTGATGTGCACTGTGCTTCCTCGCATTCACTTGCTCCTTCTTGCAGCTTGTCTCTTTTTTCTGTTTTTTGTTTTTTGTTTTGTTTTGACGCTCTGTGTGCATTGCGCTTCCTCGCGCTCACTTGCTCCTTCTTGCGGCTTAAGCGAAGGCTATATGTGAGCTTTATAAGCTCACTGATGCTAACGCGAATAGAGCATAATAATAATAATAATAATTATGCTTTTTTTGCCTAGGTCATCAAGGCGGTAGACGGTGCCTTATTATCCGCGACCGTACCTCTCCCGTACCGTATCTGTCCCGTACCTGTCCCGTACCGTACCATCAAAGACGACTGGCCACAAATGTAGGTTTGCAACGGGCAAACCAAAGTTATCATGCCACAGAAGCACTCGCGGCCAGCGCCTCGCAGGCAGTCCGCAACGCCGGCTGTCATCGTACATCGTCCCCAAGCGGAGGAAAATGGCACATGCGCAAGCGTGGGACTTGCAGCCTTGCTGGCAACGAACAGCAGCGAGACCTTTCTATGCAAACAAATTTGTTTGAGCACATTGGCGTGCAATATCAGCAGTGTTCTGCGAATTTTCTCCCGCCCACCACAACCCACTTCTAAGTTCTAGCGCCTCCAGAAAGGGGGAAAGCAAGCAAAGCCCCTCAGCTGAATGCATTTTGGAACAATTCTCTGCATGAGCGTTCAAGCACTGGCGGCACGCGCTGCCCAGCAGCAGGACCACAGGGTCCCAGCAGGACCAGCTGGTCCCAGCATAGACACATTGTGTCCAGCAGCCGGGCCAATTGGCCCCAGCATACAGCAGGACCGTCCGGTCCCAGCAGTCACTTGACTACCTGCACACAGCCGTGCCCCACAAGGGCACAGCAGTGTTAGTTAGGATCATTGGCCTTAATCTCTTGCACTGCCTGCCATCTACCAGCATTGTAACAGTATTTTCTACAATCCCGCTTTCCTGGGCCGCCTGGTATAAATGCATTGTTGCAAACAATTCGCAGATTACATATTCTGTTACAAAACACTTGATATGATCCAGCCGCAGCAGCTCGGCAACCCCAACTTCCACTTGCTTGATGTGCATGTGGGTGATAATGCATATTCAAATACGGCTTTCAAATGCAAGATCATAACGTGAAGCAACTTGAAAGATTTAGTATGTATGCGAAGTGTATCGGGGGATGCAGGGCGATAGTGGGGGTTCGAATCCCAGGTTATGTCTTAAAAAAAGGAGAAATTTATAAGAATTTTAATAACATCTCTATGCTCTTTTTGTCTAGGTCATCAAGGCAAAAAAGCATAGCGTAGGGCCCTGAGCTTCCAAGCTCTCTCGTTTGGTTTTTGTTTGTTTGTTTGTTTGTGTCACGCCTGGAGGTATCCCGTGTCTGTCCCGTCCCGTACCGTACCGTAGCATCAAACACAGCTGGCCACATGTGCACAAACAGCTGGCCACAATATTTGCTGGCTCACGTGTCTGTCCCGTTCCGTACCGTACCATTTAAACGCAGCTGGCCACAAACAGCTGGCCACAATATTCGTCGTATTATGTATACAACTCACTGATGTATACGGAGATTTTCTGGAAAGAAAAAGGGAGACGAGGAGGAAATGCAATTAGAATGGACGTGAGGTACCGAATAGGTGATAGGATGCGTCAGCAAAAACATACTTTGGAAGAGAGATCCCGTCGTCTCCAAAACATGCGTGAACGGGCTAGTCAGCGGCGGTCACAGGAAACGTCGGAAGAGAGATCCCGTCGACTCCAGAACCCCCGTGATCGGCAAAGTCAGCGCCGGTCCCAGGAAACGTCAGGACAGACACCCCGTCGACTCCAGAATGCCCGTGATCGGCGGAGTCAGCGCCGGTCCGGTAGCTATGCAGAATACGTTACTTCAGTAACTCATTGAAACTTTTTTGCAATACAATGATGTAGCTGAGCAAAGGGAAAAAAACATTTCCATCAGCTCTAACAACATGCACGATGAGCTTGGCAACAAAGCATAGCGTAGGGCCCTGAGCTTCCAAGCTCTCTCGTTTTACTAGGGTGCTCCCACCAGGCGTTGCCTTTTTACTGGGAACCCTAGGAATGACTTGTCACAAATGCAGAAAGGGGCTTAGCTTGACGACATCCAGGTGGAAGCATGTTCCATCTGCCTTCTGCCAGAAATGAAAAAGCATTCAGACCGTAACGAGACGTAGCTCTGGGTAGGTTCAGAGCGGTTGGATCCTGACCGCGGGTAGCAGCATTTGTGCGGCATGATGCAGAGCGGGGGGTAAATAACGTGCTTAGCAGATTACTGGTGCAACGAGACAGACACCTAAAAACAAACACAAACTGCTTCAAGTTTACACGGCGAGAGAAAGTATACAGGTTATAATTGGCGAGAATGAAATCGATAGAAGTATTCTGATCATGGCCAATCACTCGCCTTAGGCACCTATTCCTGGTTGACTCAAGTTTGCCTCGGAGGTTAGCAGACAAGCAGTGAACATAAAATGTGCTGGAATAGTCCAAGGTACTCTCGACAATTGTCAGGTAAAACATGCGGCGGCCGGTCATGGAGACGTCACGGCGCTCGTGGCGGAATGTTGCAAACTTGCACTGTGCCTTTGCCATAGATGCCCAGGCCTTTATCTTGTATGCTCTCCTGTCGTCTCTCTCTCTCTCCCTCAATGTAGTCATAGTAGTTCGTGTTTGTCTTCGTCTCTTCGTCTACCCCAGTAAATATCGTTCTACCTACCTGTCTCGTTGTCCGTTGTGTCTGTAAGGCCATACTTAACATTCCTTAACACAAAATTCGCGAGAAATCCGTGCAAGTGAATAAACCACAAAACGGTTTGATACTTGAAAGAAGGCGAACTCCTGTAGACGGGTAGTGAACGCGAGAAGCTAATCCTCAATCACCTGTGTTTTCACGAGCGTTCCCATGAACCCTTTCCCGTTGACGTTTCACGGAGTTCTAATGGCTCCTCTTTTTACCTTCGCTCTTATTCACCAATTAGGTAAAATTTCAATGCTATGTTCTTAACCTTTCCCAGCTCTCACCCTTCCGTGTTCATCTACCGTCGGCAATAATATTTCCGATTTTGGAGACCCGCTCACCAGTTAAGATGGAAAGTGCCCATAATCTTTCACAAATCTGGCACGTTTCAATTTGGAATCATGTAATTCATTTGGTCCATGTACAGTCGAACCCTTTCCTGCAGTAACGTCAGAATTTTTAGGTTCGTGCATAAAGCATAGACAAGTGTCGTAACCTAGGCTAATCGCACTTACTGACATACTTGACTCCTTCTGCAAAAGATCCAACACAGATGATCAGCACTGAAGACAATTTTAGTATGCGAAGCAAGTTGGCCATTTCTCTGTGTAGCGCAGTCGGGATAGAGATTATGCACAAATGATCAGAATATGGAACAAAAGAGATAATGGAACATATAATAATTGTTATTCTGTTCGTTACTGCTAAAATCGGGAATTATCCTTCAAAGAATGAATGTTGATATGGATCATCGGTGTCCAGTTACAACTTTTATAGTCTCCAATCCCATCACAGGTAGTGCTTGGACGGGGATTATTAAACGACTTCGAAGTGACACGAGGCTAATGCTAGTCTAGGAAATTCAAAACATTTACATCTTATGGACTCAGATGGATAGCCAAGGTTTTATTTATACAAAAGAGAAAGACCAAGGAACTACAAGTTACGCCATACTGTCCACTAACACCACCAGTTACTAAACAATCAGCTCATCCGATAACATTGCACGACACTGACCGACGGTACTGACGAGCTGATTGTTTAGTAACTGGTGGTGTTAGTGAACTGTATAGCGTAACTTGTAGGTCCTTGGTCCTTTTCTTTTGTATAAATTTACATCTTACCTAAATTATACATCCTTAGATTGAGTATACTCAATTTGCGGACAGCATTCTGTTTCGTTCTTTGTGAACTCCTCAGCACAGAGGAAATGAGGCCGAACCCCCTTCTGTGCTGCACTGATGAGTTCACAAAGAACGAAACAGCATGCTGTCTGCAGATTGAGTACTTAGAAGTAGAAGTAGAAGTAGGGAACGCTTTATGCTCTTGAAAATGTTAAAGGTTTGCACTAGTATACTTTCAAGCCTTATCATCAGGTGTAATACAGGCAAGGTCAAAAGAACATGAACAATGGATTAAATACAGCAGAGAGGAGGTGATAGAAACAGCGCAAGGAAGAAGAGCCAACACAACAGCGTCCAATGCGTGACCTTTACGCATAGAAAGTAATGGGGAAAAGGTGCAAGTGTAATTAAACCAAAAAACACGCCAAGTGCGGTGCAGCAAAAACAGCCGACAAATGGACAAAACTAACGAGTTGTTGATGACCTACCTGACAGTCTAAGCGTGAATCAGATCTGCTTCAGTCGACATAAGTTGGGTTTCTTGGTGTGAATATCAACAGCATTTAAAGCAGTCAACAACTTCGCATTGCATACACGTGTGCAAAACAAACAATCAACTGAGTACACTCTGCAACATTCAGGATGCTCTAACAAATGACAAGCAATGGACGAATCGTACCCCTCAAAACTAACATTAGAAAAATCCAAATGTACAGCGGACAAGTCCGACACCAAACGCGTAGTCTACTCAGGCTTAGCTGTTGACTCGGCCGTGCGCTGGATGCCGCCGTGCTCTGGATGCCGCCTGCGCCACCATTGCTAATCTCGTCATCCTTCTCGTTTCAGTTGACGTTTTTGCTAGTAAGTTAGTGGGTCGTTCAGGTTGCTTCTTTGGCGGTCTTCAAAGCATGAGATCAGTGGACACTTCCCATGATGATTTACTGGCGTTATTCACATGAATAGTTGGTTGCGAGATGTTCTTTGGGATCAATCCCGCAGTGATGGACCATCTCGTTCCAGGATGACTTTTAGGCGGGCGTTCCCTCCGTAGTCGCGCGGTACGTGCGTGTTCAGGTATGACGTGCAGTGGTGTGTGTTGTCGGATGCGCGCGTCTAGCTGATTAAAGGTCCTACCTACATTATTGGCTCTCACATTACCGAGGCTCGAAAGGATAAGTCACTAGTTGACCTGTAGGTAAGACGTCCTTCCTCACCGTGACCGTACGCACCGTGGAGTAGATGAAACAAATATACACATCATGATAATTTGACGTAACAGCTGATATTACACGACGATGAACCATATGTGACACTGACTCGTCGAGGTACATTATGGATAAACTGGATTAGTGGAAGCTTCATCATTCTTCTTCTTTGGGATAAACACGGTTACGTACTTCACAATAACAGAATTGGGGTATCCATTGATACAAAACAGTGCACGTAACTTCTCCAAATCCTGCTCCAACGTTGACGACGAACCAAGGCGGGTAATGTCAGCCAAGTAAGTTAGTTATGTGCGTAATTGATCTTGTACAAAATCGCACAAACGAGTCCCATACAATGTATGAGCCAGTGAACGTAGGATAAAGACAAACAGACGTGACAAACTTGCGCTGTTTCTATCACCTCTCTCCTTTATTTATTTCATTGTTCATGTTCATTTGATTTTGCCTGTATTTCACCTGATCATAAGGAATGAAAGTAAATTATTGAAAACTTTCAAAAGGTTCAAGAGCCTGAATTATGAAGTGTGTCCTGCATCTAAGTATGATTGCATTCTTGTATCCAAGGAAATGATACTGCCAACTCGGCCTCAATTCTAGTCTCATTCGAACCGTAATTTTTGGGTTGCTGAGTTGATATTTTCCACGAAATCGACGTATCTCCAGACAATGAAGTGAATAGAGGAGTCTGGTTGTCGGCCCCATTAGAGAGCAGGGTGCCACACAGGTATATTCTTTTTACCCAGAAAATTCGAACCACAACCGTGATAGCTATACCTTTGGAATGCATGGCTTATAAATTTAGAAAATGAAATTAAACTCAAATTTAATTCACCCCGCCCTCAAGCTTGCCTCCAACGCCTTTGTAGAACGATTATGAAGTGCTTTTGTTTTACTAATTATACACCGCAAACAAATCAAAGAGAAGACGACACAGTGAAGGGCCCGTGAATGAAGGAGTGGGGATAAGGTATGAAGTTCTCAGCCGACATACTCTGAAATGAACTCACCATTCAGATGCCTGCTAGATCAACTTGGTTCCCAACCCTACACAGGCATAGATCAGCTCGCGCGTGTCACCAGTTCGAGCACAATACTTGGGCAGAATACAGTTGCTTGCTGGCAGGCACCGGCACCACGACAGTCCTCCTCAGGTCATTAACAGTCCTTCTAGTATGGGAATATTAGACTAAACGTTAGAAGAAGAGACCAGTGTGGCCTGCGTATACAACAGGAGGATTTCCAAAATTTCTTTAATTTTGCAGTGAGAAATAGGGCATCGATCACGTACCCATCTGTGTTGTAGCCAGGCGCGCGACAAGTGGTGAACACCGTCATTCCGTACCTGGAAGTGCACGATCTGCTACCCACTCTGTCACTTGAAGACTTGCCAGATTCACGCAGCTGGTTCTCGTGCCATGCTTCACGGGAACGGAAGTAACAGACTCCCATAAATTTATCTTATTAGCAAGCTTTGGGCTTTCCTGTTTTGGAATTGGCTATGACGGATTTGACTTATAGTACGATTCTCACCAGCTTGGTGTAATGCAACAAATTATTACGCCTCAGGCTCTGCTGTGATGATGAATACATGTACTTCACAGGTTGCAGGGAAGCATTGGATTCAGGTCCCTGGTAGTAGCTCCGGTAGTGACAGTGGATAAATTATTCCGTTTCAAGAATTAATTTGTTTTACATGTATGCATGCAAACTCGGAGGGAGTTGCGGTTGCCCGTGAGAGTACTCAATACACCAATGTGCAGAGCCTAGTGCACACACTTGAGAGGAATCAAAGCCTTTCTGCTGCTGTCTGACGATCGGTTAAAGCCGTGAAACTCAGAGTTTCAGCAGAAACGCTTTTGATTCCTCTCAAGTGTGTGTACGCATGCATGTAGATAATGTACGCATCATCAGCACTGACGTAGATATTAATCAAAAATATGAGTATCCTCAAAGTATTACAGCAATGCAATAGGCAATGTTTGCTGGGATATGCACGTTAATGCTGTCGCCACATTGCCCATTATTATAACAAAAGAAGGAAACATAAGAGCATTAAATTGTTTTGTCTCGTTCGATCGATCGAAATACAGAGAGAGAGAGGGAGAGAGAGAGAAAGAGAAAGAGGGAGAGGGACAGAGAGAAAGAGAGAGAGAGATAGATAGATAGATGGAGAGAGGGAGAGAGATAGATAGATTGATGGAGAGAGATAGATGGATAGATAGATAGATAGATAGATAGATAGAGAGATAGAGAGATAGAGAGAAATAGATAGATGAAGAGAGAGAGATAGATACATAGATACATAGAGATAGATAGATAAAGAGATAGAGAGAGAAAGAGAGAGGGAGGGCTCAAACTCTGTAACAGGTGAGCTAAACACACACATGAGTGCCGCTCGTGACCTTTACCATTTGCTATATTCATTTGGGTATTGCCGGTGAAGATGATGACATCAGATATTTCCAGTAGATATCGTCTCGTTAATAGCGCTTGTTAATGAAATGTTTTACTCAGCAATACAACTGCAAGTAGGTGGAGCCACACATGTACACGGGTAGATAGGTGAACCCCGCCAAAAATCTTACACATTCGTGTGATGATTTCCAAGTTTCTTCATGTGAGAATTTCAATGTTTCTCATTATCCTGAGCCCCTACACGCCGTATGTCCAGCAACGTCCACTCAACCAGCAGTTCTGATGGCGCAGACGGTTATGTGCATCGTTGGCTCTTACACGGAGCCTCTTATACGGAATGGGGAGTGCCTGTCACTTCCTACGGAAAGTCTTCTCCCTCGCCGACGCGTTCCTTTGTTAGTGAAAGTTCATGTAAAGGTGAAAGGGGATTTGTCTTTAGGTTTTGCCTGCCAGGCCACATTCAGACTACTTGAGAAAATGCGTTACAGACCATTTTTCAGGCCATTGTCTACGTATAAAATTGACTGGAAGGGTTGCCGCAACTCCGGTACCCCTGTGCAAGGCAACTTTTTCTGTCAAGGAGAAGTCAACAGTAGGAAACTGAATTTTTCTTCCAGAGTAGTTTCCAAAAAGCCGGAAGGTTCTCGTCACCGACGACCTTGAGTGTCGGCTCATTGAGCTCCGGGGCGAATACCGGGAGACGAAAAGTGGTACCATGATTAAGCGTGTGCTCTGGTTTGATTTGGTGATTCAGCATACTAGAAAAACAGACTCGCCTACATATCCAACACCTTCTTTATACCCTCCTTAGTGGTTTCCAGGACTAGATAACGAGCCATTACTAATGATATCACCAATCGATCCTACATTAACAGTTAAGAGTAGAGCCCACACGCTCTCTTCCATTAACACCGCAATGGTTCAACTCTTTTCACAATAATTAATCCAAGGTTTCGGCAAATTGCCTTCATCAGGTTCAATAGCAGTGTTAATGGAAGAGAGCGTGTGGGCTCTACTCTTAACTGTTTATGAAACCCCAGGAAGCCTCCCCTCTTTTACCGAGCCTACATTGTTGCAAATACTTGCAACAGGATTCGATTTCTGTAGAGGAACAATTTTTGTTCACGCTCAACGCTCCACTTCTTGTATACTGAGATCTACACTTGTTTATGCACGTTCAGCATTAACCGTAAACCACTCGAGTTGTTTTGACAATGTAGATTTATCAAGAACCAGATGTCCAACTTCCATCGCAGTGTGTGAATATGAACAGCCCTATTTCACTCACTGGCCTCTTTTTCCTTCCCTTCCACTGCTAAGACGTGAAAATGACAAAGAAAGGTAGGCCTGTTATGCAGACGTATAGAGAAACATTGGCAACTGGGCAGCAGTGCTCGTGCCATTTCCTGAAAAGCGTCTGCAAGAGCAGCTACAGCTGGTGAACTTCCCCTATCCAAGCACACCGGTAGTTTACGAATGTTAATAGAGAATGCGTGCCATACCGCGCTTTTGGACACATCAGCACAGCGGCAAAGTGTAAATGGCCTGTGGTACGTGCGTTGTGTACGCTGGAAACGTTGTGCAGTGGATGGTAGAATGGAGAGCCGGGCTTTGAAGGTGATAATTGATTAGAATTATTACCAAATCAGCGCAGCGCAGCACAGACGAATTGAGGTGGAACCTGATAGCAATGGAAAATTAATGTCCACAACAATGTCATGCAAGAGGAGCACCGTTAGACATTGGCATCCGGTTTTGTACAATTCGTTTTCCCAATGTTCCCCCTTTCTTTATCTTTGATTATTCTGACCCACCCAAATTGGGTGGTGTGTTGCTTTGCTGCTTCGAATTGTAGTTAGTTATTAACTGATCTCGTCATCGTCCTGTAAGGGCCGATTTCAACTACGGTACCGTGAGTGCCGTGCCGTGAGTACCCATGGCGATTTAATTTTGCTCTCATGAGGGGCAGTTTTGAGGCGAGTTCATTCCGTGGGTCATGCCGTACCGCGCCGTGGACATTCCGGTGCCGAAGGTCTCTGGGAGGTGGAAATGGCATGCCGTGGTATTCCGTGAGGTCGAATACAGTGCGGTGTAGTAGGTATTTTACTACTTCCTGATAGGAATGTTTTTCTTTCTTTTGTATTTGTGGTACGAAGTGTTTGCTTGGCTTTTGGCTTTTCGATTGGTGGGTTTTTGAGCTTTCTCCAATCATCTTCCCCGCTATTTTCCCTCCAGACCAAAGTCAGAAATTGGTAAAAATAGTGATCTGGTCTGCCGACGGAATGCACGGATCGACAGTGCGCTGGTGTAAATCACTGTCAGCTTCAAGCTTGCACCGCGGGTACACGTGACCCACCCAAATCGTCAGCACGGCACTCACGGTTTTGTCGTGGAAATCGGCCCTAACGGTCGGCATTCTTCTTTGCCGTGGGACTTAGCTTGTACACATTTCAGCTGGGCTCACATTCCCCTCTTCGGTACTACATAACCATCAATCTTCTAAGTTGGAAGGCCGTTGGTTTGCGAAATGCAGGTGTGTTACAGCAAGGTCTCAGGTCCCTGAATGTTTCAGTATCTTGTCAATTTCGTGCCCTATCATCGCATTTCCTGACTGTTCATAATCGTGTAACACACGTGGATAGTTCCTGCATACGTCGGTCTCACACACAACCTGTGGAAGGGGGGGGGGGTAGCGGCAGGATAACTCGTTCTTTTAAGTTTTTTTTCGTTTTTGCAATTCTTATTATTCTTTTTAAACGAAGGTAAGTATTAAATAGATCGCAAGTATCCACGCAAACACACACATTCAGTCAAATAAGACACCTGTCATAAAATATCGAACCGTTGTCGGTCCCCTCTCGTCAAGGATTGTACAGGAAATGACTCAAGTTGGAAAGAATAAAACTTATACTAAAGTATAGCGTACCGGTAATGAGATAACAACACTCGTGACAAGGTGGAACATTTTCAATTTAGAACCACACAACACTCGAAGAAAAAATATTCAACTCGGGTGGTGACCCAATTAAATTATGGAGCAAAAGGAGAAGGACAACATGTTATAATTTATGACTAACTGTCTGCCAAAGTAATTAGATCTTATACAGTAAGCGAGTGCGACAAAATGGCACAAAATTGACAAGGATAAATGAGACATACGGCGACCTGACACCTAGCTCCAACACTTCTCCAAGGCGCAAACCAACAATCTTCAGGTTTAGAAAGATCCAAGAGACCAAGGAAAGCACGGCGAAGACAAGCACGAGCCACCCATCACGGCAACAAAGAATGCCGAAAGTTGCTGAATGATGACGAAACCAGTAAGACAATAATTATTGGACCTACCGGCCTTACTACAACCCTTTTTCAAATTGATTGGCTAAATCAAACTTTCTCTTTGCATTCGAGGATAACTACACTGTCCACCACCTTGCTGACCTAAGCAAAAACATTGGATTGTTATACACTCGGGTATTGAGCCAAAAGTAGAAAGGCAAAGGACATATGGAAACGAGTTAAGATTAACTCTCCACCACTGTAACTAGATACTATATACAGTCAGAAAGTGCAACAACTAGGCACAACCTTTGACTCAATACCCGAGTTTCAAATTGCACACCTGATTAGCCGTAACGAACCATACGGCGAAACGTACGTCGTGTGAAACAACTTGTTTTGTAGTCAACTAGTCCATCTTAATGTCATGCATGAGGAGTACCGTAGGAG